ACTGAGGAATGTGTTCCTCCACATAGGTCAGCTCGGCAAAAAGCCAAAACCTCGTCGATGCAGCCGCCACATTCCTGCCTCATCCGCAGTGAAGCCAAAGCACTCTAAGCACACGCAGACGCTCGACTCGGAGCTCGGGCCAAACCAGCGAGGCTGCTGTCAGGTCTCTTCTGGCCTCACAGGCTGAAGGGGCCTGATACGGATGATAACGGGTGTCTTTGTTTTTAGGAGCTTCACCCATGACATGCAGACAGGGTTAGAGGTGCTGATGAAAAGTCTGAAATACTTGCACAAAAGGCTTCTTCCAGTTCCTTGGAATAGATGGAGACCCACTTCCAGGGAGTTTAGTGTGGCTGGTCTGGTGCTGGGAACTCCGCTATAGATAGATCCGGCGTAGGTAGGAGGAATCTGGAGCTCTGCTGTCAGTACGGAGAGGAAAATGTAGGTTAGTGTTTGAGGATGACCACATTCAGGCCTCCTGAAGGAACAGCTGAGCTGATATGGGTCAGCTTTATGATTTTAACGAAGCAATGATTTTCACTCCTCCCGTGGCCTTTGGATTTCTTTGGCGGTTACGTCAGAGGTCAGGAGTACATCTTACCAGCAGATGAAGTGACACAATGCTGGTGCAAATCCTGCTGGCTCAAGTATCAACGGGGGGGGGGGCTGAAGAAATGGGAGACACTGAGGAAGACGAGCACTGCTTTGGCCTCTGAAAACTGACTTTTCTGGACAAAGCTCGTGAGATGCCGGACACGGCAAAGAATAAGGAAGCACATTCCTGTCTTTTCACGTGTTGAACCTCCTCCAGTCGGCCGTGTGAAAGGACCAGATGCCCCTCTCCGTGCTGGCAGATGGAGGGATTGTTTCCAGAGTTTAATGAAGGGAGGCTGCTGGAGGCTTAGCCCAGTTACCTTGGTCATTGATATGCTCTCGGGGCGTCCACTGGCATTGTTTGGTGTCAGTAGAAGGGACGGGCCCTAAAGCTGGTTGGTAGGACTCCTGGCAGACTGCTTTTTTTTTTTTTTTTTTTTTTTTTTTTTTTAAGCGAAGCTGAGCAGTTGGAGGGTTTTGGGTTTTAGGACCTCCGTGCTGTAATGGGCAGGATAAAGAAGGGTGTGATGGGATGGAGGTGTGACGTGTCTGATGGGGCAGGAATGGAGTCTACAGGGAGGGGGCGATGGCGTCTCTTTTCAAAGGCTAATCAAAGAAAGCCGATGGCTTTTGTTGTGCTTACAGTAACAGAAAAGGTCACATGACAACAAAGCACAGCAGTTAATCAGCTGGCTGATGGACGGGGTCGTTTCACAGATGTCAGCATCACTAATGTGACTTTTCTGTCACGCGTGATGATTTTGTTGCATGCGAGGACTGTCTGGGTCACATGGTTGGTAACCTCAGACTGTAACCACGTGGCACAAGGAGCTCTGCAGTTTGGGCCTTTTTATAAGACAAAGGGCAGCTGTGTTCAGCTGCTGGATTGACTCTGACCTTTGACCTCTGTGTTGGCTCTATCTGAGTGAGTGCTGTGATGAGTCAGGCTTTTATAGAACGAGTTATAAAACGTTAAAGCGGAGAGAGGAGGCTTTTTGTTGTTTTCTTCTTAAACGGGTCCATGTTTGGTTCTGTGGGAATGAGAAGCGGAGCCTTGAACAGAAATCTTATCCCATATTTCTTTCCACTGAATCCATTTGGTTGGTTGGTTTGGCTGCCATCCATATCCGGCTGCTTATCAGCTGTTGCACATTAGGCCCAAAACATACCAGGCTGTGAATCACTGATGGAGGACAAAATGGGGATCTGTTAACAGGCTGTAAAATGGCTGGTTGTGATTCTTCTGTCTGTAAACTCTCGGGACTTCCACTCTTCAGCTTTCACCGAGTTTTCCAGGCCGTTTGCAGGCGTTTGCGGCCTCCCCCCGAACCGCAGCGAGCTCTGCTGTAAAGCACGTAGCCGGACTTTGTGTCGCTGAAGCTCATTCAGGCTGTTTGTAATGAACACATTCGGCTTGATGTGAAGGAACAATGATAATCTGTCCACTCAGGCTGTTTGTGGCAGTGTTTCCAAGCAGATAAAGGCTGCTTTCAATTAAGTTTTAACGCGAGCTGAAGTGGAGAAACGGAAAGTTTGTTTGAAGAGAAAAAAATCACAAAGGTATCGCAGGACCTTTAAAACTGTAAATCCTTGAAACAGACACTGGCAGAGTAATGCAGTTCAAATGAAAATAACAAGCAAAAAGGAAAAAGTTCAAATAAATAAAACAAACCTTAAAATGGCTACAATAACCGAAAATTAGTAAGAACAGGAAATAAACTTTGTTCTGATATAGATTCAAATATAACTAATAGACTGTGACTATTCTTATAGACTAAGTTACAGGTATATAAAGTGCTTCAGGTGTGTTATGTACCCTCTGGAGGACAGACGGGGTCTTTCTTATTACTCACACAGTAAATGAGTGCGTGCCTGCTAACAGTGTAACATGTGCTGTGTGGCTGTGACTGAGTGGACCGCTCAGTAAAATGAGTGAGCGCTGATTTTCATGTCGATTTGTTACGTAACCTCAGCTCGGGCGCTCCTCTGTCCTCTGTTTGCCGGTCCGTGCTGGTTTAGAAGATGTTTACACACACACACACACACACACACACACACACACACACACACACTGTGTTCCCTACCGATCTGTTTTCAGGCTGACGTTGGACAGTTTTTACAGAAACTGAGGCTTCCGGCGCTCATCCTTGGCTCTGTTTGTTTTTCCTGGATTTGGAACACCGTTGTTGTTTTTGTTGGGACTTGGCCTGAACCCCGTCCCAGCTCCGGGAAATTATAGTAAAAGTAGAATATGTCGCACATGTGACGGTAACATCGGAGGCCTTATGTAACGCAAGCCTCGAGCTTTTGATCTTTTCTGTTCTCCCGAATACGCCGGGCCTGCCGGGACAGGCCTCAGTCAGCCTGAGAGGCGTACGCTTCTTTTCTTTTAGCCCTCCGGGACGCAAGCGTCCAAGTTACACCACGCAGGGGTTAAAGGTCAGAGGAACCGGGAAGGGGAGCGTTTTCAACACCCCAGGACACAGAAGGACAAAACGTACTCTTACTTTTTTGTTTGTGTGGAACTTGAAAAATGCAAAGTGTTCCTGTTTTTAGAAAAAGGCCCACACCCACTCCACAGACTAAGGTTCGGGTCATTAACGTTCCTTAAGTTTGACAGGAGACTGTGACTAAACGCATAAAACCCGCCAATAAATCACTGAAATCCCTCGAGTGAGGCAAGAAAACGTGTTTTTGTAGCAAGAAGCAGAGAAATCAGGTTTTCTGGGCTTTTAAAACCATCTGTAACCGCAAATCGAAGTAAAACGAGCCTCGGGGGGGAATGATGTCAAATATAACAAAATGAAGGGCTGTGAGTCCTGCTGGTTTACCTGATTGAATCAGCCTGACTCATACGGGTCCACACGGAGGCTTGAATGAGCGTAATTCCTCTAATGTGACTCAGAGGACGTGTTGCAGCAGGACTGAATGGTTGCGAGGAAATGAAGAGCCAGCAGTCACCACTTTTCGGCTCGGGATTACTGACAAAGACAGGCAGGCAGGCATGAATGCACACATACAGGATCACGGCTCCCTGCTGCACATGTAAGGGCTTTAAATGAGGACATAATAGAGCAGCGATCCTCAGCCGGGCTACTACCGCCACAGCTTTCAGGACGGACATGAAAAGACATGAAGAGAGAAGAAAAGATCAAATTTGTGTGGAAATGGATGCAGTACAAACCTTTAGCTGCAGCTGTTTCCAGCTGTTATCGGTTTGGATGTTTCTGCTTCAAGGACACAGACTGTGAATGTTTTCAAGCACTTTTAAATGATTTAAGTGTCCTGTTTAGTTCAGCTGCCCTCAAACCCAAAGATTGTTGTCACGAAGCATAAAAACATAAACAACAACAAGTTGTTCACCTTTAAGGAGCCGCAAACTCTTTCAAATTTGATGTTTGCTCCTGGATTTTTAAATACAGCTCTGTAAGGAAAGCCAGGAAAGAGGGACTCAGACGGGAAGAAATGGAGTAAAGTGCAAGGGAACGCACACAAAGGAGGCCTGAAAGTGTAGGAAACCAAACAAATTGGAGCAGGAGCGGCGAGTCCTCGCGAGCCCACCTTGTTGCGAAGGAGTCGCGGTAAAATGGCCGCCTTTGTTTGAAAGCTCTGTGCAGGCACAATGGGGCATCCCCTCCCCTCTTTCTTCTCTGCTTTTTAAAGGCAGCGGCTGAGAGGATTACCTTCAAACACGTCGTTACCACGCCGAGCGGCCGAGAACACACAAACAGGGAGGCCCCGGGCGGGCTGGGTTAACCCTTAAATGAAGACTGGGATGGAAGTAATTAAGAGCCTTGTGACGTACACGACTCGATCTGTGAGAGAGTGGACGAGGATGTTTGTGGGACATCCGGGAAGCTTTCCAGTGTGATTTGTGGTCTGCTTTTGTTCTCGCTAAATGGAAAGCTCAGAAAAATAAAAGCTTGTTCCAGTTTTCCCGACAACATAATCACCACTCTTCTTTTCCTGGAAACTCGATTGGCTGCTTCCTGTCGGACACAAACATCACCTGGGCTCCTCCTCGTCTGCATCGCGTTCGGTGCTGTAAAACACATCAGGCTCATGTCCCGTCTCACTTTGATTCTGTGTGTGTGTGTGTGTGTGTGTGTGTGTGTGTTAATGATTAGGTGATGGATTTGGGGAGGGGGTGTTAATCCCATTCCTGCAGCTTAGCGGGCAAATGGTCACTGAAATAAACTCTTGTAATGTGATTAAATGTGGCTGATGTGCCCTCACCATGTTAAGCTTTGATAGGGATGGTAACCATGGCGACTGGGCTGATTGAAGGGGCCTGATTGGGCAGGCTTGACCAAAAAGTTACAGAGAAACTGGAAGCATGTCGGCCTATCAGACCGAAGGAGTGTTAGTGAGATAAAGTCCCTCTGAGCCTCCGTCTGATGTCCCAGCAGGTGAGGGAGACGGAGACATGGATGCCCATGAAGAGCTCGCAGACGGCCGGCGTGTCGACACGTGGCGGCGATCTGGAGGCGTCTGGAGATGCCCCGATTGGCTCAGACTTCGGCTTCACAGACGACGACGCTGACAATTACACGTACGACGATGAAGACTACAACGACTTCTCTGGATCTGGTGACGCAGGTCGGTCCTGACGAGAAACACTCAGCGCAGCGATTTCTGACGTTTACGTAGAATCTGTAAGATTAAATGAAGAATCTGCTTCTTTCCACAGACACGCCCATGTCACCTGACGAGACGACAACAGTGAAGGTGAGAAGCGTCTGCACGTGGAGTCTCCTTAAATACTTAAACCCTCAACCATGCAGCAGAGGCTTCACCAACTCTTTTCTCTTCATTTACAGCTCGACATTATTGACAATAAGATCCCCGAGCCAGAGCGCCCGGTGCGACCAACCGTCAACGAGAGAGATATCGTTGAGAAGAACGAGATCCCTGTGCTGGGCAACGACGATCGCAGTGAAGACAACCTGTCCAATGTCCTCATGTCCCACACCGGCAACGAGAGCATCACGAGCAAGACGGAGTTCCTTGCAGGTCAGTCGTGCTCTTACAAACATCTTTGAAGCAGCCAAAACGTAACTTTGAGTTTTTAAATGTCCAAAGATGGAAATGCTGCCCAAGTTTTAACATCAGACGCAGGAAAATTTCCCTAAGCTGTGATAAACTTAAACTAAGAACAAGAGCACGGTAGCGCTCGTACACGATGTCAGATGACGTGATTTCTAAAGTGTAGGGCTGACGAGGAGCTTCAGAGCTCCCTCCCCAGAGGAGCAGGAGGAGGCTCCTGTCTGGGTGGAAGGAGTAGGAATCACTGTCACAGCTTAAAAAGTCTCATCTGTCGCTTTACTTTCTCTTCCAGCTCTGACCGCGACCCTCGCCGTCAGCCTGGTGCTCGCCGTCCTCCTCATCCTCTTCCTCATCTATCGCATGAAGAAAAAGGACGAGGGCAGCTACGATCTGTCGAAGAAGCCCATCTACAAGAAGGCCCCCACCACAGAGATCTACGCATAGACCCCGACCTCCTCCTGCTCCTCCTCCTTTCACAACCACACACAATCACACACCTCACTCCCTTAAAAACCCAATCAGGGCCGGCGTCTGGCCTTGCCATGCCTCATCATCATCATCATACCTCCTCCTCACTTTCCTCCAGCGGAGCGATGCTGGGTAAATCAGAAGAGAAGCCCCGACAACACAATCGACAGACTGGCTCCTCCCTGATGTGCGCTTTATTACCGACGCTCTCTGAACCAATCAGAGGCTTCGCTTTCTCAGAAAAGGAAAATGAGCGACAGGAGTGGACTGTCTCAGCTGCCAAGACCTCACTTCCTCTCAAACAGGACAAGACTCCTCCCTTCTTTCCTTTAAAAACACTAAAACGGTACTTTTATCGGTCCAGTTATTTATTCTCTCCTCTGAACCTGCAACTTCTAAAGACTAACGAGGTTTTCATGAGATTTTTTTTTTTTAATGCCATAATGAGAAAAACAAAGTTGGTTTTAATCTGAAAGTTGTGCAGCGGTTTCATGCTCCGTTAGAAGTGACCCTGTATAGAAGTGTTGTTTCTGCACTGTAAAACGATCACTTCCTGTTCTGTAAACCTTCAGATGCAGCAGAGTTCATTAAAATGACCTTAAAAGGCTTTTTATTTCCCTTCAAAGCTCCTGGTATGTTTGGTTTCTCCTCAGCACATAGCACCAGACGAGTCGTACCAATCCCTGAAAGGAATTTGCAAACGTTGGAGGACCCCGGGTTATTCACCAGCACGTCATAGCGGCGAGGTGTTGCTGCACTCCTCAGCATCGCGCCAGGCGTCGACACTTTCGGATGTAGACTCGCTCACTTTCCTGCAGAGAGTTCGAGGATACAAAGCTATATCCGAATAGCTGGTTAGCTTAGCTTACAAAGTGAAAAGCATTAGCCAAAGCTAATACAGCTAAAGGCTATTATGTGTGAAGTAGCTGTAAACTCATCAAATTAATGTTCTCGACATATAATGTGCAGATTTGGGTTTAACCACCTTTTTAAGCATAAAGTCAGTCTGATGGCAGCATTTAAAGTCGGGTTTCCTCAGCTAATGCTATGCTACAGTAGCGTAGCAACGCTAATGTAACATTTGGGGCTTTTTTTTCCCCAGTTTTTCATAAATTAAGATGAAAGAAATGAAGCGTAAATGTGGTCTTCGGTAATTCCGTTAGCTGCTTTTTTTTTTTTCTTTTTTTTTTAAATTAATCTAGCTAGCTGATTTATTTGTGCTAAGCTAACTCTAATGTAATTTTGACCAAACGTGAGTGGCTTATATCTTTTCTAAAACTTGCCAAATTAAAATTGTAATTCCTTCAGTTCTTTCAGCACTGAGGTGCTAATCCGTGTAAAAGTTGAGCTCTGTGATTGCAGAAACAGTACTTTTTTCTTTCTTTGATATATATATATTTTTTCTCAATCATGGGGTTGATGCTTCTCTCGATAAGCTACACGACTGTTTGCTGTTTAGTTTTTATATTTTCAGTCACAGTTCTCGGAGCAATCGCCGACGCCGTCGTAAGCCGGTCCAATGCATCCAGACTGCTCTACCAAGGATTTGTACATAGTCATTAAATATCAATTTTTAAAAAAAGCTTAAATATATTAACTTGGTACTCAGCCGTGTTCTGGCAACAGAAATATCTACCAAATATTTAAATGCCAAATTGTTTTGTTTTTGCTCTTTGGTGTCCTGCAGTAACCTTCATGTGATTTACTGTAAATGTAAGTTTTGATACTACCGATGCTAATACTAACGCCTCTAATGTCCTCCAGTGTTTTATTTTCCCTCCTGTAGATCAACTAGTTCCCCTCCGTTATTATTTTTAATTAATTTAACTGTCAAATTATTTTATTGCCTTCCTTCAGGTTCGGGTGTTCACCCTTAAGCTGTTGTATATGTGATTTTTAAAAGTTTTATATACACTAGTTTCAGATTTCCAGCAAATAGTTTTGAAACTTATTTGGTAAGAGTGTCTATTATCTTTTAGACTTTTTGCTTTTGTATTTATGGTTTTGTTTTTTGTAGAAGGATTGATTATGTGGTTGCTGTACGTCTCTTCGTTCGAGGGATGTTGTGTCGATGAGCCACGTTGCCGTCAGCAGACCTCGGGTCGATTCTTGGCGACTCACTTTTGTAAATCTGAACACGACCGGCGACGCGAGCAGCCGCACAGTTACGAAAACACTCGAGGCCTGATAACTGACACAATGCTGCTGCCCGTGTCCTCTGGTGTGCCGGGAGGAACGAGCTGACCTCTGACTCGGGCAGAGGAGTAAATCTGATCAGATTACACGAGTTTAAAAAAGAATATTTCAAAAAGCAGTCTGTCGTCGGCCCCAGGTCTGAGTCGGTAAACATGGGAGGGTATGTTCTGCTGCTTAATGTCACAAATACCACACGTGAATCATTGGAGTGGAGCCAATGAATCATTGGTTTCTCAATGCTGGTTCCGATTTATTGAAAATAAAGTTATTTTTATGCACATTAACATTTTAAATGTGTGTTTTGTTTTATTTCCTGAGGGAAAGATGATTTAAAGAGACACTTGTCACTTCACCTGATCACAGGGGGTAAATTCCCCCTCAGCAGTTTTCTTTCTAGTTGTTACTCTGACAGCGTAGGACTCCTGCTATCTTTGCTTTCTTAGTATTTTGTGTTGCACAAACAGTGCAGGCGTTGTTGCCAAGGAGACGAGCACAGTTTAAATGCACAAAACCTTTTTAGCACGATTTATTTTGTGTTCGGCATGAAGGAAAGGCAGATGATAACAAATGTACTTCGAGTAACTGAGGAGCTGCTTTCACTGTCAAAGAGAGTCCAGGTGTGTGTGTGTGTGTGTGTGTGTGTGTGTCGGATCGAACTGACAAGCCGTTGCCTGCCAGCTTCAGCGCAGCCGGGAAAAACACACTCCACTAAACGCCAAAACACTGACGAATGCAGCTCTGCTGGGAGGGGCGCACACATTCCAGCACACACATATTCAAACATTATCCTTCACACACGCTTTCATAACCAAGCACACGGCCGCGCAGGTGGGGGTGCTGGCGGGGGCACTTTGCACTGGACCTATTTGTTCAAAAACAAGAACAGGCGAAGGTTAAAGTGCCACTTTTTTTTAAATCCTCTTTGATCCAGCTCCACCTGTCTGCTCCTGCTGGATGCTGAGCAGGTGAAGTGTGCGTGCTTTGCATCAGGTCTGAATGGGGACTTTCCTTTCACAAATTTGGTCCTGATAAAGTTCCCCCGGTTATTTTTATTTGGTTTAAATACAGATGTGCCTGCATAAAAACAGAAGGGGGCAACTGCCAACATGCTCCAACGTACAGCTCCAGAAGCACGGCCGTTTCTACGACTTTTTTCTTACTGGGTGGGAGAGTGAGATGTGACTACATGGAGGCACAGACAGCCTGCCTGGAGTTTGCCAAAAGGCACATGAAAGACTCTCAGACCACGAGAAATAAAACTCTCTGGTCTGATTGAACAAATATCCCCTACGGGGAAGCATGGTGGTGCTAACATCTTGCTGTGGGAATGTTGTGCAGCTGCAGGAACTGGAAGACTAGTCGAGGTCAAAGGGAAGGGAGAGGTCACGGGAATGCCGATATGTGCGCAGACATCACTGATGATGCTCTGGAGCGATCGGGATTCATCTGCCAACCGGACAGCAGCCCTCATTAATTAGCACAATTTTGATGTAACATTATATGTGATCAGTTTTGGAATAAGGCTGTAACAGGACAAAATGTAGAACAAGTGAAGCTCTGTGAAAACTTTCTGGATGCTCTGTATATAAAGCATGTAGAAGCATCACAATACCTTTGCTAAACTGAATCATACTTGCAAGATTAGGAGGCAGCTTCTCGCAGTTAATTGTCACACTGCCACTAAAAAGGGCTGCAGGAATAAATGCTCATAGTAATAATAATCATCTAAGGAGCTCGGGAAGAAATGCAACCTTCAAGAAACTTAAACAAGTCTTTTCTTTAGATTACTATGACCTGGATATCATAGGAGTGATCGTTCCTCTGTTTGAATGCAAACAGTCAGTAGACATTCATAACTAAAGATCTACAGGTCACAGGATGAGGTTTTGCTAACGAGAACTGCAAAGGCAGAAAATGATCAAGCACAGGATGTCAGATGGAGTCAGATAAAACCAGAAACCAGACTGTGTAACGTCACTGTGAGGTTTCTAAGTTTCAGCTGGTAATCTGTAACAACGGCTGGTTTTCACAGGCAGTAGTTTCAGTGCAAAGACCAAGTTTCCAGATTTTAAGCTGTAATTTAAAGGGGGCTGGTCACTCAGTTCCTTTTTTTAATGCTCAAAAATGTTAAAAATAACTCAAAATAGCAATATCTTCAAGGACCTGGTGGTCCATCATATTACAGCAAGCGTGTTTGGGAATCCAGAGATCAGGGACTCCAGCCACCTGATAATTCAAACTTAATACAGTTTAAACAGGTCATTTATTATTCAAATAAAAATGTTGTGAGGGTAAACTGGCCCCTGATAGGGTCCCCCGTAACAAACTGGTCCTCGGTGTGGGGCCACACAGAGCAAATCTAAAAATAAAATAAATCAAGGTTCCAGTTTACCTGGAACAGGGTCCATCCTGCCCGGAACAGGATCTCAGACCAGACCCAGGATAAGGGCAAGCGTCAGGTGGCCGTGCCTATGGAGCCCAGCCGGGCGCCGCGGTCCTGGTGCTCTGATCCCCAGCTTCCTTAGGCCCCGGGGCAGACCCAGGACTCCCTGGGGAAATTATATCTCTTGGCTGGGATGGGAACAACTTGGTGCTCTCCCTGGATGAGCTAGAAAAGGAGGCTGGGCTGAGGGAAGTCTGGGCTTATAAACCAGATAAACGGCTGAAAATGGATGAAAGGATGAGATGTTGTTTTTGTTGTTGTTTTTGTTGTTGTTTGTTTGTGCCCGATGCCCTCCTGATGTGTGTCTCCTCCACGACGAAACTTGAATATGTGAAACACAAATGAAGCCAAAAACATGTAAACGTGTTTATTTCTACTGTAAAGTTTTAACCTGGGAGTCTACAGGGACCGACTCATGCTGGAGCCTCATGTGGACACTGCAGGAACTACAGCCTTTCGCGCTTCTGGGTTAGCTTAATTTTTCTGTTGCAGAGGACGACGTGATGTGTTCAGGTTATTTTAGGAGAGTGTGATTTAAACACAGATATGGCACTAACATGACTGTTGAGTTTTAGTAGCTTTGTGGGGACCCACAAAGTTGAGGAAGTCATTTTAGTATCATTAAAATATCAGTAGGTCTAACTGGTTAATGAGTGATTACAGTGTAGGGGCCTGGGTTTATAGTGTCATTCAGGTTTTCTGTGTTATTTTAGGAAATGTTTTCCGTGGAACTGAATGAAGTAAACATGGTTTTTCCTCGGTACTGAGTCATTAACCTAATCAGGTAAGCACAGATATAAACTTCCTTGAGCCCAAATATAGAGCACAGAGTCTGCAGATGTATCCTGAACTGCTTTGTGCTGCACAGAAAACACATTCTTTTCTTATCTGTTGTTCTGGCAGTCCTTTTCATGTCCACACACCTTCACACACAACCTTCGCTGTGTCTTTAGGAACATTTACGGGAACTTCCAAGACGTGTTGCACCAGGCAGGGTGTTACTGGCTCTTTTGTCTTTTATCCTCTGAGACTCAAATCATTGAACCAACGGTTGCAAAAGAAGATTTCAACATCTCTCTGCACACTTATCGCTCTGCATCTCTGCTATGGTTTCTTTGCTTATATAAAGAAAGAGATAACATCTGACACTGAGTTGTGGATTCAAATGAAACAAAATGAAAAATTATCATCCGCAAGATCTTGATTTCTGTTTTTTGGAGCAGTTCAGAGCCTGTTAGCGGTGTGGTCAAACATTTAACGCTATTAAAATGTTAAAGTTCCCTTTAGAGGAATCAGAGGGATTAATTATTGGATCAGCTCTGAAACCTTTTGTGTCAGATGCAGTTTGAGCTTTAATCTGCACCTCTCAATGGCAGCTCATTAAGCCATTGAGAAGTTACTGTCACAAGCATCAAAGATGAGCTCTTTGTAGTCCATCTTTGGACATTGCAGACAGACGTCAACAACATCCGCTACATACGGAGCCTGCTGTAGGTGCTGTCAGTGTTTGCACCTCCACCTTTTGCTTTTTAGCCTCTTGGATGAGAGTAGTGGAGTAGTTGTTCCCAACTACTCTACACAAATTCCTATGCTTTAGGAATTTGTGACAGCTATACAATACAGCCATGCAGAAAAGGTTATTCCATTATTGCATCAGAGCTCTTTAAAGGAAAACAGGGGAACCACATGACCTTTGGTCTGGTTCTGGAGTTTTTGAACCAGAGGAAGTTAAAGGTCAACAACAGCGTTATTCAGCCAGGCCTGACTGGTTTGGCATAAAATGGAAACTCTGCTGATGTTCCAGTGTAGCTGTTATCACATTCCACTAATGTGTGGTCATATTTGCATCTGCCTGTTTGCTGCATTGATGGAATTAAAGCATCAACACTTCCTCCTCCTCACGTCGGTGCCAAAGTGACGTCATTGCGTCTGATATTGAGGGTTCTTGTTTATCATCAGATATGCACTGATTGTCATTCTTTTAAAAGTGAGTCCTGCCAATAACGATTTTTATCAATTTCAGATTTCTTTCAATGAATTATAACAGACAGCATATCAAAAAATAAATCAATTAAAAATGGAATTATAATCATAAAAAGCATTTAAACTTTACATTACCCCCCAAACTGCAGTAAGTTACAGGATATTTTTCCCACTAAAACAACATGAAACAGTAAGACTCTGCTACTGGAATGAAATGATACAAATACACCTTACAATATAAAGCACCTCAATGCGCTTTATATTGTAAGGTACAGAGAAAAACCCAACAATCATATGACCCCCTATGAGCAACCACTCTGGCGACAGTGGGAAGGAAAAACTCCCTTTTAACAGGAAGAAACCTCCAGCAGAACCAGGCTCAGGGACAAAACATGTTCCAGTATGTTTGTAACTTCACCAGATAAAAGGACGTCGACTCTTTTTCATTTGTCTCTGTAATTTCCCTCATAACTGTTTTGATCCTTTGCTCATACTGAGGCTGCTAGCTTTAGCTTTAGCCGTTTTGCCTGTGTTAGCTTCTTTGAAATGGATGATTTAAGTCTGATTAGGTTTGTTGAACGTTTTTGTGACAGTTCTTTGCACTTTACAATAAACTTTGCTTCTTTAGCTTCACTTTCACGCTAATGACATGTTAGCATGTGACTGCACCACTGTGCACAGATCATACATGGATGTCAGTTTTAATATAGGCACATTTCAAACCAGCAATCTTGTCTTTAAATTACTGAATGCTGTTTGGTGTTAATAAGACAAAACAATTAAAAATTGTTTAAATAATGTAAATTTAGTCGGATTCATATATGTGTAATATGTGTTATTGTTTTTTTGAGGTTGTAT